CTGGGAGTTCTATAAAACTCGGTGAGTTAAATTAGCACTTGGCGCATCACCGAGTGGTTCGACGGGTGCGACTTACTCGATCGACTTACGCGCGAACAGAAAGGTTTTAAAGGTCAAATGATTTAAAATTTCAAAATCCTTTCAGTTTCCTACTTTTTAACTCTCTCACTTTCTCACTGGATATTAGATCTTTCATACTTTTGTGTTTTTATTCTCGTGTTACTTGGGATCTTTGCTCGGATTAATTGTGGAATTATTTGCCGCCTAGCTTTTCAACTATTTTTTGGCATAAAGGTTGGTTTTCCGAACCCCGAACTAAATTTGTGGTTTAAATAAAAATTGCTTGTGATAAATTATTGTTGATAATTGTTGGGTAGTATGGTTTTATCATTGTTTAACTGTTGGATTGCCCGTAATTAATTGAATTTGTGACTAATTATTCGTAAATGATTGATTCTCGTATCGTTAGTCAATTATTTTATTGGGTTGTGTTGATTATGTGTTGGGTCTAGCGGGGTGAAGTCTGAGTAACCCCGAATTGTGCTAAATGTTGTATTTTGTCTAATGATGGAGCGATTGATGTCATTCTTAGGGGCAAATGATTGATTCTCATGTCGTTAGTCAATGTTTTGGTTGGGTTGTGTTGATTATGTATTGGGTCTAGCGGGGTGAAGTCAGAGTACCTCGATGGCATGGATAGTATGGGTATTGCTTTAATTTCATAGTGTAGGTATTTAATTTTGATTTCGGGGCTGCGGGATTGATTTTGAAGTAAGGGGTGAAAAATTAGCGTGAAGGACCATTTGGCGAGCTGGGACGGGCTCGTCGATTGGTTCAACGATTCACCTAAGTCCCCCAAGATCGCCTTTAATTTCACCTAATGTTGAGTTTTTGTTTTGTAACTTTCGACGATACGCCTGAGCTCACCGAAAGTACTTCTTGATCGCCCTTCTACTCCCCTAATTCCCTAAAATACACAGTAACTTTCGGTGAGCAACTTTTAGTTCACCGATTGATGTCGCCAATCCGCCGAATGGCCCTGTACATCACCGACCAACTTTGAGCTTGTGAAATTTTTGCGCTGGAACTTTTGGCGACTCGCCGACCGGTTTGGCGAGTCTTCTTGCATATCTTTTAATAATGTTTTTCTTAAGTTTTTCTAATGCTTTTTATGTTATTTGCTGGAATGGCTAGACCCAAAGTCACCGTTAAAGACATGTCGCCCTGAAAACGGCCACGTGGAGTGGTTATAAATGAGGATGCAACTTCATCCCAAGAAAAGGCAGCAAAACTCCCTACCAGGTGAGGAAAATACAAAGGCAAGGGAAAGACACCCATGGTTGAGACACCGGAGGCCAGCTCCGATAGTGAGAGAGTCTATGAGACAGACCTCACCACATTTGGTAGTGAGGGGGACTCATAGGATTCTCAGGCTTCCATCTCTGAGCCAGAGGACAACCAATTATTACAGGCCCGGAGAGCGGAGCTACGCTCCAAGTCTATAAATGATCCATCTAGGATCCTGGTACCTCAGACTCCTCCTCCTCCCCAGCTCCAGCACAGACTGTGGTCGCGGCACCACCAGTACAGGGTCCTCCACCCATTAACTCAACCGACTAAAGGCCGATGGTGTGAGGACTAATCTTGAGGAGAAGAGATTGTCCACAAATGGTGTGGTGGATAGATATCCAAATATATAGAATACTCTCAAGTTCCATAAGATTGAAATTTTCACTAAACCCCAGGGCCACTACAATCCCAATTGTGTTCGGGAGTTCTATTCGGCTTATGGATACTTGGTGTCGAACGGGAAGAGAAAGGCCAGTGCCTTCAAACTAGTTGATTTTGTGATATTGCGGGGCAAGAAGGTGAAGTGCGAAAGTGGTGACATAAATGTTGTTTTGGGGTGCACTTATAATTCCTTGCATTAGTACATCAACTTGGTTCAGAAGAATACCTTGGAGGATCTAAAGGGTTGGCTGACACCTGGTGTTAGAAGTCACCTCGAGGTGGATAGATGCTGGTGCACCGATAGAGAAGAACGACCTGAATGTTGCTGCTAGATACTAGTTTGGGTTTATCAGTTACCCTAATATGTGGGACACTCTCCGGTTTCCACAGCCCGAGGGATTGAGGACTATTCTGGAAGAGAAGAGATTGTCCACGGATGGTGTAGTAGACAGGTACCCTAATGTGTGGGACACTCTCCGGTTCCACAGGTTTGAGCAGTTTACCAGTCCTCGTGGCACCTATATTCCTACATGGGTCTAGGAGTTTTACACGGCATACAATGACCTTGTACCAAAGGGAAAGAAGAAGGCCAGTGCCTTCAGACTGGTAGAGTCTGTCATGTTCCGGGGGAAGGCAGTGAGATGTAAAAATGATTATATCAATGTTGTATTTGATAGAAGATCAGGTTTTGACTAACAAAGTTTAGCTACCACTGTGACGACTCTGGATGACCTAAAAGGATGGCTAGCTCTTTTTATTAATGACACCACCCCGAGGTGGATCGAGGCTGGAGTTCTTATTGAGAAGAAAGACTTGAATATAGCGGCTCGATATTTGTTTAGGTTCATCAGCAACTCCATCATGCCCTCACAAAATGAGTCCATTCTCCGCCTCCCAAAGGCGGCCTATCTCGGATCAATCATAGCCCAGAAGAGCATCAACTTGGGGCTAATCATTCAGTAGGAGATAGCCATGAGGGCCAAACAATGCCAGACATCCCTTTCTTTCCCAGTGTTGATTACAGAGTTATGTCAGCTGGTTGGAGTTCCTTGTGATGAAAAGAGGGACATTGAGGTAACACCCACATCCTCCACTGATATTCGATGCATAGAGGCCGAGTACACACAGGATGAGGCGGATAGAAGGAGAGAAGCTCTGGTGGATGCATCCCCAGAGGTTAATGTTGAGGCCATACCTGCAAAGGCATCTTTGCCTACTCCGGCCTCCGGGCCTTCAGGTACACCCACTGCCACTCCTTCCCAGGCCCTAGGTTTTTCTGTTGCTTCCCAGCCTACTAGGATCACTTATGCCATGCTCCTCAAGATGGGGTACCTAGCCCATTCTGCCGATGTGTGGGCTTCTCGGCTAGAGGTTGAGGTTCCCTTGGGCTATTTCAGCTGCTTTGACGCCCCTCCAAACATCGATTGATGCTCTCACGACGAGAATAGAGACTTGTGAGAGAGAACAAGAGGTTACTTCTGAGGTTACGACTTTGAAAACCGAGGTTTCTAATTTGAGTAAGGATGTGGACTATCTGAAGTACACAAACTTCACTTCACTGTTTGAGTCAGTTGAGCCTTTGGGTGTTCCAGCTAGTTCTGATATGCCTCCGACTATCACCAGAGATGAGCCTATGAATGATATGGCTGCTGCTGAGTTAGAGGCGAAGACGGATGAGGAGCTGCTTGATGCTTAGGAGGCGGCCATCTATGAGGACCTGCCTGATTTAGAGGAGACGATAGTACAGTCAGTCATTCAGACGTTGCTGACAGATACTTCCATGGAAGCCTCTAGTGGTGCCAGTGTTGCTGTTACCCAGGACACTGATGCCCAAGATTAGAGTGTGACCCCGGACATTGATGCCCTGACAGATGGAGCGACTGAGTAGATAAGATCATTCTTTACCTCCCTCTCTGTTGTTATTGTGATTTTTGTGTTTTTAGTCGCATTTGAGGACAACTGTTTTTCTCTTGTGGGTGGGGTGAGGTATTTCCATACCTACCTCTTGTGATTACATTATATATATATATATATATTGGGTTTTGTGTTTTAAACTGTGTTTTGATTCTATCTTGTGGATATTTGAGCTTATGGCTCCTTGTTTTGAATGGAAATGGTTTTTGACTCATTTTGAAAATTTTGTGCCACCTCTTTTGTGTGTGATTGCGGTTGTTCTTATGCAAATTTGAGCATCGATATTGATCAATACTGATGACTTGAATAATGCTTTTAATTGAACAAAATTAATGCGCAGCTAGGATGTGGCCAAATGAAGTTGTATAGACAATGTGTGAACTTTTTGCATCTCCCTGTGACTAGTCGGTTATTGAATGAAGTCTCTTGTGATTAACATTGCACTCTAGCTAGAAAGTGTGTAGCCTCATTTGATATTGGTGCCAATGCCTTGTGTGATGAGCTTACCTTGAACATTGTGTGATGACACCTAAAATTTGCCACGTTGGTCCGGTCGACTAAGTGATGCAAGCTCTTGAAATGATCTTAGGCCACAAATTCAATGGATGAAACAACTTGACAGTATACCTCTTTTGTGGCAAACCTTGTGAGTTGTGTGAACCTTGTTTGAACAATTGTGACCCCTTTTTATCCATTCACCAATAACTCTCATGAAATGTGGTTTGTTTGAATAGCCTACTTAGGCCTTAAGCCTAAGTTAGGGGTGTGGTGAAAAAAGAAGGTAAATCAAGAAGTGTGAAAAATTTCCCCTTTGAGCAATAATATTGAAAATGATGGAACCCCTCCATATAAAAATGAAGAGAAAAAGAAAAGAAGAAAACAAAAGAAAAAGAATGAAAAAGTTGTGAAAAAAGAGTAGTGAAAGTTTCTAAAGAAATGAGGTATCCGGTAGTCCATGTGAAAATGAATAATGGGGTGAATTGTGAGCATGATCAAAATGTTAAAGAAAAGAAAGAAAGTGATGTTCAGACCACATTTCATGAGGGTAGTAGCCACTGAGCCTAAATGACCATTCCTTTTCACTCAATCCCGTTACAAGCGTTTAAAATACTTTTTTTTTTATCTTGAGTGATCTGAAATGAATGTTGATTGGAAAATAAGGGCAAACCTATGGGTGAGGTCATTCATGTGTTCATCTTTGTGAGTGTGAGAGTCGTATGTGATTTCAGGACTATTAAATTTTTAGAATTTGTGTGTGAATATGGAATCGTCTTTGTTGTGAGGGAAAGAACAATAAAAAAATGCTCTCTAAACCTAGCCGTCGAAACCCTAATTTCTGATTTTGAATTGCCGGAATGGCCAATTTGGCCGGTGGACAACCTCCTTTGGAGGTTGTTCCGCTAGTTCATGTTCTGTCAAACAAACTGCTGACTGGTGAGATGTCATATGCAACCACTTTACAACCTACGATGACAACTCGCGCTCCTGTACCAATAAAACCCTCGTCTCTTCTACATGGGGAACCAAAGGTTATTTGGGAGGAAGAAAAGGTATGTCAGATGATTGTTAATGAAGATTTGGAATATGCAGTTGTTGGGAAATTTTCCTATAGATGGCCAGACATACAGGAATTAAGGAAAATTATTCCGAAACAGTGTGAATTAAAAGGAGACGTCAATATTGGTCTATTGTGTAATCGATACGTACTCATATGGGCCTCAAGGATGGAGGATTATGTGAATCTGCTCTCTAAACCTATTTTCTACATTGCCCATAGAAATTGGTATTATCCAATGAGGACATTTAAATGGGATCCTTTCTTTGATCCATTGGAGGAAATGTCGATCGCAGTTGCATGGATTTCACTGCCAGTACTGCCTCCCAATTTCTTTGGAAAAGAAACGATCTTTTTGATTGCTGCTGCAGTGGGTAAACCTTTACAAGTGGATACGGCTACTAGCAACAAGACTAGGCCTAGCTGTGCTAGAGTCAAGGTGGAAGTTGATCTAATGGGTGAATTCCTAAAGCGGGTTAACGTTGGTATTAAAAAGAAGTCTGGGGAAATAGTTGCTAAGTGGGTCACCATAAGGTATGATTATCTGCCCAAGTACTGCAAAAATTGTAAATTGCAGGGTCATAATGAGAAGGAGTGCTTTGTTTTGCATCCTGAACTATACCCTAAAGAAGAAGACGTGAGTGAAAAGGAAGCCACCGCAAAAGAGAAGATGAAGAAAGATGGGGGCCAGGTGAATGATGAAAAAGGGGTAGAGGACACAGGGAAATGGAAGGAAAAATGACATCAGGAGAATAAAACAAAGAATGAAAATAGAAGGGGGTATCAAAACAAATGAGGACTGACTCAGAGATGGAATCATAAGGAGAAAGCGAAGGAGGAAACTAATGTTATTTTAGGCAACAAATTTGATGCATTAACTGAAGAAGAAGGGAAAGAGGAATCAAAGCAACAACAAAATGAAAGGGATACAACATCAATGAATAGTGAAGGGAAGGATGTAATGAGTAAAGGGCTTGGTAAAACAAAGAAATGGGTAGAAGAGATTTTTGGGGCACAGAGAGAAGAGGGGGAATTGCCTGTCAAAAGCAACAAAATAGAGGGAGCCACAATAGAAAGAGAAGACTCTGTAAAAGAGTCTATGCAGAAAAATGACAAAACAGGGGAGGCAAGTATAAAGATAATTAGCAAGGATACTGATACACAAGAAAAAAATAATATGGAGGAAGTCAAAGGGAAGAAAGAAGTGAGCAGCAAAGATGATAAATCAGAACAAATAAATGTGGAGGAGAAGCCACCAAACCCTCCAAATGCAGATCACACTAACTTGGAGGGAGAGGGATCATCTACAAATAAGACAGACGAGAGTACTAATGAAGAATGGGAACTAGTTTCTTTGAGGCAAATGCAAGAAGAACCTGATAAAACATTTGAAAACAGGGATGAAGAAAAGGATGAGAACATCATGGAGAATATTGCTGAAGTGTCAAAAGATGGTGACCTTTCACCAAGGCATATCAAGGAATTGAGAACGGGAAGGAAGATCAATAAACCTGAAGGTAAAGTTAGAAGTACAAGAAGTAGTTCGGCAAGACCACCTTTGTCTAAATGATGATGGACAAACTATTATTTTGGAATATTAGATCAGTCAGCACTCAAAATTCTTTTGATAGTGATTGATCTAAATAAGAGAAATAAATTATCGTATATTGCTCTTTTAGAACCTTTCAAAGGGCCTCATGAGTTAGAAAATTATAGAAGGAGATTGGGTATGGCGAATGCAATGGCTAATCTATCTTCTAAAATTTGGGTTTTCTGGAATGATGAATGGGTTGGAAATGTCTTGAGTGATAGTCATCAACAACTTTCGATTATCTTCAAAAATCAGGTTTTGCAAAAGGAGATCTGTGTCACTGCTGTGTATGCAAGGTGTAATGCGCTGGATCGATTAGAATTATGGGACGAACTGGAAAATATTAGCATCAACAGTGACATTTCATGGATTGTGGGAGGAGATTTTAATGTTGTTTTGGATGCATCAGAAAAACTGGGTGGCTTGCCAGTCACCAATATTGAAACAGTGGATTTTGCCCATTGTGTCAATGTTTGTGCTTTAAATGAAATAAAGTACACAGGAAGCAGCTACACGTGGTGGAATGGGAGAATAGAAGATGAATGCATTTTTAAAAGATTAGACAGGGTTTTTGGTAACTTGGTTTTTTTGCAACAATTCCCAGTGTCAGAGGTACAACACTTAGTCAGAGAAGGGTTAGACCATGCACCTTTATTATTGCAATGTAACTCAAACAATGAAAGGGTCAGCAAGCCTTTTAGATTCCTGAATTTTTGGGTCAAACATGGTGAATTCTTGCGAGTGGTGAGGGAGAATTGGGAAATGGATATACAAGGTGGGCCGTTTTATATTGTGAAAGAACAAATGAATAGGCTAAAGAGGGTGCTTAGCAAGTGGAGCAAGGAATCATATGGAGACATCTTTCAAAAAGTATCCACACTTGAAGATGTGATTAAGGTAAAGGAAGTGCAGCTGGAAGTACATTGTTCAGATGAAAACATGAGAGACTTAAACAAGGCAGAAGAGGAGTTGCAGAAATTTTATCAGCTGGAAGAGGATTTTTGGAAACAAAAATCAGGTATGAAATGGTTTAATGATGACGACAGGAACACGAAATTCTTTCATTCATACGTGAAAGGCAGAAGGAGGAGGCTGATTATAAATGAAATAGAGGATGAAAATGAAGCTATACTGAGGGAGGATAAAAGCATAGGTGAGGAAGCTATGAAAGTCTTTGAGGATCAATTTGCAGCTGGAGCAGTTAGTGACGATTAGGCCATGCTAAATTGCATCCCACACATAATAACAGAAGAACAAAAAGAGAAGATGGATAGAACTTCGGAGGAAGAGGAAGTGGGGAAGCTATTTTTTCATTAAATAGTGAAAGCGCTAGTGGCCCGATGGTTTGTCGGGCAAATTCTTCCAAGCTTGTTGGGAGATCATAAAGGAGGACATTGTAAAATTAGTGATTGCTTTCTTTTGTGGATGGGAACTACCAAGATATGTAACTCATACAAATCTGGTTCTCATTCCAAAGAAGGAAAAAGTCACTAGTTTTAAGGACTTGAGGCCAATCAGTTTAAGTATATTTATAAATAAGGTGATCTCGAAAGTTATTCATGGCAGATTAGTGGAGGTATTGCCTGATATAATCTCGAAGAATCAAACTGGATTTATGAAGGGGAGAAGCATTGCAGAAAATGTTCTATTAGCCCAAGAGATTGTAAGTGACATAAACATCATATTGTGGTTGTAAAATTGGATATGGCTAAGGCATATGATAGAGTCTCTTGGTTTTACCTGATCAAGGTAATGAGAAGATTGGGGTTCACTGAAAGAATTATTGATATGGTTTGGAGACTAATATCAAACAACTGGTATTCTGTATTGGTTAATGGCAAGTCCTATGGTATCTTTTCATCATCTCGTGGGTTAAAGCAATGGGATCCTTTATCCCCACCCTATTCATAATTGCGGCTGAGGTTTTATCAAGGAGCTTAAATAGATTGAATGAAAATTCAAAGTTTATAGGGTATGGGATGCCGAAATGGAGTGAGAAAATTAATCATTTGTCATACGTGGATGACACTAATTATTCGTTTCGGGGCATAAGGGATCAATTAAAAGAATGATGGATACTTTATGTAGGTATGAGAAGTTATCAGGACAACTCATTAATTTGAACAAAAGTTTCTTGTATTTGCATGAAAAGGTGCCTATTGTGGTGAGAAACAGAATTAGGAGGATTACAGGTATTGCAACTGGATCTTTTCCTTTTACCTATTTGGGGTGTCCTATTTTCTACGGAAGAAAGAAGAAGTGTCATTTTGAGGATTTAATCAAGAAGATCAGTAGAAGGGTCATGACATGGCATAGTAAATTACTATCACATGGAGGTAGATATGTACTTGTTAAGAATATACTACAATCAATGCCAATTTATCTAATGTCAGCTATGAATCCACCTAAAGGGGTAATTGATCAAATTCACAAAATAATGGCAAAGTTCTTCTGGAGTAAGATGAGAGGAATCAAAGGGAAATATTGGGTGGCTTGGGAAGACTTATGTCTACCAAAAGAAGAAGGAGGATTGGGTTTTAGATCATTACATGGTGTGGCAGACTCACTATTTGCGAAGTTATGGTGGAATTTTAGAGTTTCATCAGGTTCACTATGGGCACACTACATGTGGAACAAATACTGCAAGAAGAAACACCCAGTAATAGCACAGGGTGTGGGAGGTTCACATGTGTGGAGAAAAATGATTCAGATTAGAGATGAAGTAGAACATAACATTTGGTGGCAGGTGAAATCGGGGGAAGCAAGTTTTTGGTTTGACAACTGGACTAAGCAGGGATCACTTTATTATGTTGAGGACAGGGGATCTGAAGAAGAGGATATCGAAGTAAGAGAATTCATAAATGGAGGAAGGTGGGACATCTTTAAATTATGGCAATATGTATCTGATGAAATGGTGGAACACATTGTTGAAAGATCAACCCATTGATAGAGGAAGAAGAGAGAGACACGCCTTGGTGGATGGGGGATTCAAGTGGGACTTTCAGTGTTAAGTCAGCTTGGAATCTGTTAAGGCATAAAAAGGAGAGATTGGAGATCTTCAATTATATCTGGAATAAGGGGCTCCTCTTTAAGCTTAACTTCTTTCTATGGAGGATATGGAAAGGAAGAATTCCCACAGATGATAATCTCCAAAGAATGAGAATTCACATGGTTTCAAGATGTTGGTGTTGTGATAAAAAACATCAAGAAACCATGGAACATTTATTTCTGACAGCCACCATAGCTCAAAAGCTATGGAGGCATTTTGCTAATTATGTAGGTACTGCTATGGAGAATATGCGACTACCTCATGTTATTATGAGTTGGTGGTACAGTGAAGGCCCAAGTAAACTGAGAATGGTATACAAGACATTACCAACTGTGATTACTTGGGTTTTATGGAGGAGAAGGAATGATAGGAAGCATGGCGGAGATCTCACCTTACATGGTATGATTCACCAAGTATTACAAATCATCTAACATTTTGTAAGGAGGAAATTCATTGGATAAACTTAAAAGGGAAGGACTGGAAGGGTATGACTGCGACATTAGGCTCTCTCAAACCCAAACTATATCATTTTATAGTTAAGTGGGAGATGCCATGTGAGGGAGTCATCAAATGCAACACAGATGGAGCTTGTAGAGGCAACCCAGGAACAGGCACATATGGATTTTGTCTGAGGAACACAGTGGGGGATCTTATATATGCAGAAGCAGAAAAGATTGGGGTCACTACCAATGTGGAAGCATAAATGAGGGCTATAGTGGAGGCGGTGAGGTACTGTGTGATGGTGGGAATAAGGAAGATTGTTATTGAATCTGACTCAATTTTAATGGTGAAAATCATTAATGGAATATGGAAGGTACCATGGGAGATTGCTGAGTGGTTTGAGGAACTAAAGCAGGTGTTAAGGGAACTGGAAGCTACAACACAACATACATTCAGAGAATGCAATAAAATGGCAGACTATATTGTTAATTTAGCATTTGAATGTGATGGGAAATTAAGCTTCAACACTTTTCAGCAGCTACCAACAATGGGAAAAAAATCATAAATGTGGAAAAGGCACAAATTCCTTCATTAGGAGTCCGAACCAAAAAGATCCTTAAGCCACATGCACAAAGCTATCAACAGAGTTAGAGATATCAACATGTGTTATCTAAGCAGCCTAGTTATATACAAAACAATGGATCACAAAAAGGATATATCTATAACTGCTACATCAGATAGGCTAAGAGATTTTAGCACACAAAAGGCACCAACAAAAAGGAGGAAGCATGGTGGTAGTTCAGAGAACATTTAGGGTTAATGAAAAGAAGTGGAAAGCACACACACAAATTAAGCGGAAGAGAACTTGTATAGAGTGGAGAATTAGGAAAGTGGGCTTTGCCCTTTCTGTTTTTACTATTAGCAGGCCTTTTTTTTTGGGGCCTGAACCATATTTTATATTGCTTTTAGATCAATAAAATGGCCTAGCCGGCCAATAAATTTCCATTAAAAAAAAGTCTTTGTTGTGAGGGCATTTGAGTACTTTTGTTGAATTTGAACTTGCATTTGAAGCAAGTATTGTGAACTTGAGCATCTTTGATAATGGTGAGTCACAATTTGAATCTTTGAGTGCACAATTGGTCATTGCATGAGTAAGTTGAGTCTTGTTGTGTGCATTCATCATGAGTCTTTTTTAGCACTGTTGGAGACATCCTTATTGAACTGCTAAACTTGAGTTTTACTTGAAGACAAGCAAATTTTTAAGTTGAGGGTGTTGATGAGTCCGAGATTTGGACTCATTTAGGGCTTTGTTTATAAAGATTTAGTGTCCTGAAATGCTTGATTTGTGCCATAAACTGATGTTAAATCCTTGATTTTCAGGTACATAGATTGAAGAACAAAAGAAGGACACTAATAGGCAAAAAGGAACAAAACAAACTGAAGAAATGAAGAAAGGCAAGCCTAGTGATCGCCAAGTGGCTATCTGACCGCCTAAAGTTCCCGTGTGTCAAGCCCTGAAGGAAAAAACCAAGTTAGCGATGAAAAGGAACAGTTGGTGAATCGCCAAGTAGTTTCGCAAGGCAAAGATCTATCGTCCAAAGTTACAGAGCTCGAGGATGCGGAAAATAAGGTTAAAAGGAGATGAAAAAGGCCAAAGGGCGGCTCACCGTGTTGTTCGGCGATCCCGACTTACTTTGCCGAATAGCCCTTCGTGGCTTATTTTTGGCGACTATAAATTAGATTTTGAACATTTAGTTTAGTATGAATCTTACATTTGGAGACACTCTTTGGATAAAACGAATTTAGCTTATAGTTTTTCTTAGTCTTTGAAGAACCTTAGAGATTCAATTTGGAGATTTTGGAAGAGGGTGTCGAATATTCTTCAAATTGAGCATTGTAAAGCTAATCGATTTGGTAATATTTTTTACCCTTTTATGATGCTTGACTAAAACCCCAATTTTTGGGGTATGATCATGTGATTATGGGTTGAATTAGTTTATGGGTATTGTTAATTACTAGTTTAAATGTTGAATTAAAGTTAGTTTAATCATTTAATTGTTGGTTAATTTATGAGTTGTAGTTGCAAATGCAACTCTACCTTTGTGTTCTTGGCTTGCTCGAGAGAGAGAGAGAGAGGTTTTAGAACTAAAATTGTTGATTGATAATTTGTGGGTATTGGATTGATCTGGGTTTAGTTCGAGAGAGTGAATCCTAAACTCAATCCCACCTTTCTAGCTCGAAAGAGTGGATGTATTAAGGTGTGGGTTGTTCTTCATTGTCGTGTTTGTTGATGTTCGAAAGAAATCACTTGATTCGGGGTAGTTGCTCTAGAGAAAGCTATCTCCCTTATAGTCTAGCCTACTCACTGATTTTCAGTTGTTTACTAGTAGTTTCAGTTACCCATATATCGACATTTGCCTATAATTGATCACATGCCGAGAATCTATCTCCTTATTGTTATTTAGACTTGTTTGTGACTGTTGTGTAGTTGATAATTGGAAATCAAAACCCCCATTTGACATTCGTGTCACCCCTTTGATTTGATGTGTCTTTTTCTGATAATTTATATTCCTATGGTTGATTAGACCACGTTTGCACTTCCTAATTGAATTTAATCACGTAATGCTCCCTATGGGATTCGACCCCAACTTATTTAGTTGGATTTTATACTAATTTAAGATCGTTGAACACCTAGAATTGGATGAGGTGTGATTGAAACATTAAA